CAATACTTATCGTATGAATAAAAGTTCACTTTTGGTTGGCTGCAAATGAAAATGAGGTTGATGATTTTTCAAAAAAAGATAACACATTATGGAGCAAAAAAATAATCAGTGATCAAAAGATGAAGTAATTAAGGAAGAACATCACTTGCTATATAACATTTAAAAACAAAAAACTAAAATTATTTAAAGCTTGTAAAATGGTGGTTTGGGTGAAGGAAATATATGTAATATTCGCTTCAATCGGTTTACCATTTAGAGTAGATTATTTAAAGTGTTGTTCTTTCTTAATTGGGTCAGGTATCGAATTTCCTTTTTGGACACTAATCATGATGAATCTTTTTTATTGTCTATTAGTACAATGTCTTATCTTAATTAAATTAATTACGCCAGGTAAACTGATGCTAGTGAAAAACACTTCCACTACCTCAGAAAGATATTTTATACTGAAATCATTAATGGCATTGGTACATTGTACATTGTACATTGTACACTTCCACTAATTACTATGGGTTAGTAGTATTCGTATTACTTATTACTATCATCTGATCCTTATCTTCCTCCTTTTCAGGTTTTAGATTCCCATTTACACATCTTCCGTTTACTTTTATAACCATGATAAAACAAAAACAAAAAATAGTTTTCCTTGGTAAATCGTAAAATCGTGGAATAGTGACATGATTATGCTATTCAATACAGTATATTTTTGAAATTTTTACATAACTGATTATGTATATTAATTTGTCACCAACATTATCTTGATGTAGAGGAGTAAAAAAGTGGTAAACTTTCAAATGTTGGAAATCTAAAACTACTCCATCAAATCAAGTGACAAAAATCTTGTACTAACCTCTGCTTAAAATATGGATAAACGAAGCTTTATTAATCATTTTGTCGACTTGAAACAATAATATAGAGCAATAATGAGATAGTACACTGCACAACTTGTAGTTAACTATGCAAACTTAGTAATTAACTAATTTGATTAATCGACTCATAAACCATATGAAATCTGTAAAAAAAAAAAAATTCATCTAAACTATAAAACAAATAGATCATTGGTTCATTACATATCATATTAATTTAAAAAATTGTAAAATAAAAAATAAAATAAAAAATTGTGAGTATCATTTATGAAATCAAATGTAAAGACATTAGTCTCATGATATATAAACATTGGATTAGGGATGTTTCATGCTTCTATAAACATTATGCAGTGAGTCAAGAGCACAAGTAAATACTCATTGGATTCTTTCGCACGCGAATTTTTTTTTTGTCTTCACTTAGGAAAATAAATTATGGCGTTGTACACATACTATAGGGAAGAAGTTCAAAATAAAAGAATTAGAAAAAAGTAAAAGAAAATGAAGGATGATGATGGGAAATAAGAAAACTAGTTAGGGACATCTCGAATTCCAAAACCTATGAAAACTCAAAAGCTATTTCACTTTTTTTTAGTAGTCTTAGACTTAGACTCTGCAGTTATCAACATATCATTTGTCCACGTTTTATTTCCCTTTTTTGTTCTTTCACAAACAAGTTAGTATCACTTCTATCTTGGTATGTTTCACTCTCTTACATATAATTTTCGAATGTGTGAGTACAAATAGTTTAGTGGACTAAGCAAACTGTATCACATCACATGTGTCTCATAAACATACATGTTTGTACAGCGTTCAACAGACCAGAAATCAAATTTTTTTTTTTTTAATGAACAAATCCCAAAATCAAACTTATGTATCCAAAACGGCAAAACCCATGACAAAGGTTATTCTGTCGATTGACTCGGATTTATGTTGTGGCCTTATTGCTTATTGGTGTATCCTTTCAACTATATATCTCACACCCATGAACGATCCAGTTAAAAACCTGAAGGTGGCTCAAGTTTGCTCAAATTAGATTCTGGCCCAACATTCGGGCCCAAATATGGCTAACAAACGCTTTGAAAAGCCAGCCTAACATAAGTTCTTTTTTTTTTTTTTTTTTTTTAACATAAGTTCATTTTAGACAGGTATTTTTTGCACTTAAGATTTTTCAAGTTTTATTAGATTAGTATAATATTTTTATAAATTAATAGTAAAATTCGCCTTTATTTGTTTTAAAACTCTAAATGAAAAATAATCATTTATTGGACGTTGACATGACCCTAAGGTCCCCCAACGCACACCGAACTAGTACTCAAATATTCGAATTAAGTACTGATTAACAACAAAACATGTTTGAAGTTTTCCTTGATACCACACACTAAAAAAGCTGTTTCATAAAGAAAAATATTTCATATTTCTTATGCAACATTTATATATAGTGATATTATATAATTCATCCTTAGCAGTAAAATAGATAAACAACTAATTTACTGATAGAATAATTAAGAATACATGTTGTAAAATATGTGTGAAAAGTTTTAAGATATTTATATACTCAATTGGTCAACCTTTAAATAACCATAGAATACAACATTTAATTGATTTTGGAGAAAGTAAGATATGAACAAATCGATAAAAAAAAAAGAAGCGATATGCTTTGTGGTTATGATTGATAACCCATCTTATAAGAAATAAAGTATCATACTTTTTGGATCTATGATATATGTACATTGATTATTCTTGTCTTTAGCGAATAGCTATCACTAAATTAAATCATATCTGTTTAGTCCCACAGATTCCACATGCAAATGTTTAACAGTAGCCCAACCAATGTAATTATGAAAATAAAACTAAAGAGATTCAACCACTAATAAACTAAATAAATTATCCTCTCTATTATTTTCCTTATAATAGTATTCCCAAAAATATTTGTTGGAACTTGGAACTTTAATAAAGTAGCAATTTGCGAATGTGTTACACCGAAGCATAATGACAGAACAGAAAACTCCATTTGTTTTTTTAATCTGTATTATAAGATCTGATCTAACTCTTTAGTCTTTCTTCTCCACCCTTGGGCCTAACCAACATGCAACTTGAATTGTATCAATCCTCCAATAACCAACAACTATATTGACACTCACATGTGACATATCAGAGATCATCGATCTACACGACGAAGGTTTTAATTGTTTTAATCCAAGTATGAGATCAAAACATATGGTAATGCATGAGATCAAAAAAAATAAAAAATTTAAGAAAAAAGAGACTTGGTCTGACTATCAAAGGTTGGAGAACTTTCAAAACTCTAGGATTATATACATGTACGCTTAACACAAAGTAAAAGTGTACAACTACAAGTGGATACAAATTAAATTACAAATAAAGAATGTGTGGTTACTAATATATGGCTAGTTTTTCGTAACTCTTTTGAGTTTTTCGAAATAGCAAAACGGTCCCTAGATAAGGGTGGTCCCACAAACTGAAATGTTAAGAGTTGTAAATGGACGATTGGAACGTTACATTGCTAATTAATCTCTCACGTAACTCACTCAGGTATTACAAAAAAATAGTTAAAGTTTGATATATACGCCCACTTTTTTGTTATTGTAATCGTTCAACTTTTGTTTCATTTGTTTTGGCATTGCTTCTTTCTTCTAATTTTCTTATTCTACGCTAGTCACATTTGTTCCGCACCTAATTCATCTGATCTAATCACATTATTCACCAGTAGCTATATTTATTCCGTTTGCTATGCATCGAATTCATTTGTTCAACAATCACTGTTTGAATTCGGTGGATACTTTCGATTCTAAGAATAACGGATAAGAAACCACATGGGGAACGTTTCAACGATCTTCACATGTTGTAGATTTTCGAGTTTTGTGGACAGAACCAAAGCCAATATCTTTGGTAATCATATTCATTATGTCTCGTCTCATAAAAGATAACTAAAAAGTATTCAACATATAATTAAAACGCATGTGGATGTGTATAGTACTATAGTGTATATACCAATGGATCAATCTCACCATATTCGACTTTATGATATATGATTTATCCCTCAAAGCTCAAAAAGTAAACTTTAGCTTTCCTCGTGAGTACCAATTCCATTTCATGTTGAAAGAGAACTTTAAATCCGACTTGCAACTGAACAATGATGAGTGTCGATGTTTTTTATGGGGATAGTTCAATACACACACGATCACTGAAGAAAACCGTCCAGAGGGTATCGAAGGTTTGGTTAATAACATTTTAATTGTGTTCTACATAAATGTTAGAGCGGTGAAACACATACTTATACTTAATTTATTCTCAACCGGGGTAGACATTTGATCGAAACTCACGTTATTTTTTCGATGGAAACTAAAGAATCCTTCACAATTTCAACGTTGTTGCTGTAAAATATGGTTCTTCATTTTTTGTTTTTATGTAAGAGATCATGGGTTGGTTTGCATCTCCGTAATAAATCACATGTTTGATATGATGCTACTAAGAATTCTTTTAAAAAAGAGATAATATAATATTAATCGGGTTCATGAAACATCCATCTCAATCACGCAACTTCTACTTTTGTTTTGCTGCCCACCTCATCTTCCTTTTACTTTTCATATTCATTAATCTGAATCCATCTACTCCACTATATTTTGTTTTTAATATCAACAAATCAATGAATACTTGTCACATAATCATTTTCTACGAGAAAAAAAAAACAACTCGGATAACTTATCATACAGTTGTTACCACACTTGAGCTAATCAAATCGCTAATGTTATATGACAGATTACTAACTGACTAAAGTACTTCACAAGCTCTCTATAATCGCTAATGTTATGCGACTTAGTAATTTGATGATTTAACTAGTTATCTTACTAATGGTTATGACTTTTTGATAGAATGAAACAGAAGCTAAAAGACTCAATAAAGTTAAAACGTAGAAATTTTTTAAGTACTTGATGGTAATTCAATAGTCACATGAATCTTGAAGAGTATATACATGATTCAACACGACACTACAAATTGGACCAGCATAAACAAAAGATGATGTCTTAATCAATCCAAGGTAAGAGACGTGCAAAAAAAAAAAAAGACATTATGAGAATGAATGCATAAAAATTGACTCTTGAACATTCTTAAAAGAGTCATAATTATCATTTATTGATTTATTGATGATGGAATCTTTAAGACACCATTCTACACCACACACAACAATCTCTGCTTCGTGACGCAACATATCGGCCACGACTCAAAACACACAAAAGACTTACAACTTTTTGCACGATCCAAACGATGAACATTTAGAATCAAGAACAAGAATCACGAATCGAATCTAGAATCCAACAATACATTACACAGAGGAATATAAAACACAAGAATTCAAATTCAAGCAGGTGTAGAGGTCCAGAAAATGTCCTTGAGAGCTGGTCTAAGAGCAGTGCTGCAAAAGTTGTTGTATTCAAGAGTATCTCCATGATCTTTCTTCACTTCCACGACAACAAACGACGGAGCCACCGCGAATATCTCCGCTTCAACCGCCAATTTCCCTTTCCGACCATTCTGTTTCCCTTCAATCCTCACTCTACTCTCGCTCTTCCTCACATCAAACTTATTCCCAACTCTCGCCGCTTCTTCCAAACTCGAAATCACGCTACTCGCTGGCCGAGAAGTCGCGAATCTCATCTCTCTCTTCTCCTCTTTCTTCTTCTCCTCAAACAACGGCGACAAATCAAACCCTTCCGATAACGCAATTATATGAAACGCGTTTAACGTCTCCGTCTCTTCCTTCGACTTATGCACCGAGAAATCGACATCCTCTGCTTCTCCTTCCTTGGTTGTGGCAGCAGCAATCGGTTCGTTTCTTGATCTCGTAGCTTGTTTCTTGAACCAAGACGAATCCATAACCTTCTCAATGGTAATTCTAGTATTTGGATTCGGATCAAGAAGCTTAGTCACAAGCCGTCTAGCATCAGAAGAAAGCCAACCAGGACATTTGAAATCTCCTCTGTAAATCTTCCTATACATATTCACAAGATTATCATCTTGAAAAGGCAAATAACCAGCAAGAAGCACAAAGAGTATAACACCACAAGACCACAGATCCGCCTTAGCTCCGTCGTATCCTTTCTTCAATATAACCTCCGGCGCAACATACGCCGGAGTTCCACAAGTCGTATGAAGAAGTCCGTCTTGTTTCAAATGCTCAGTGAAAGCAGAGAGACCAAAATCAGTCACCTTAAGATTACCTTCTTCGTCTAACAAGAGATTCTCCGGTTTCAGATCTCGGTGATAAACACCACGGCTATGGCAGAAATCAACGGCTGAGATCAATTGCTGGAAATACACACGAGCTACGTCTTCGCGTAGTCTTCCTTTAGCTACTTTAGCGAATAACTCTCCGCCTCGTACGAGCTCCATGGCGAAATAGATCTTTGATTTGCTCGCCATAACTTCGTGAAGCTCGACGATGTTTGGATGTTTGACCATCCTCATCACTGAGATCTCGCGTTTGATCTGATCAACCATCCCAACTTTCACCACTTTCTCTTTTCCGACGACTTTCATCGCCACGCTTTTTCCGGTCTGTACGTTACGAGCGTGATACACCTTCGCAAATGTTCCGTGACCTAGAAGACGACCTAGCTCATAACGGCCGTGAAGCAGCCCCGTACTACTACCACCGTCAGATCCATTCTCCACCGGTTTTGCTCCGACCATGATTTTTTACTTTACAACGATAATTTGAGAATTTTGAAAAAAAAGAAAAAAAAAAGATTTGCGATTTTTCGATATTTTCGGAGAATTCGAGAGTTAAGAAATTGGATCACCCGTCCTCGACGTGTTTCCGGTGGCAATTCCTGCCGCCAACAGATCGGTTAAACCGATCACACAGCTTAGTCTTCACCGGCGATACTCCGACCATCTCTCTGCATTCCCTTCTTAGGATTTTTTCCCTCGAAAATCAAAGAGAGATTTCAGAAGCAAAATTTTGAGTAAAAAAACGAAACTCTCGTTTACAGATAAAAAAAATCTTAATTTTCCCTTTTCCGTCGGATAAGAGCTAACAAAAGAGTAGTGTTTATATAGATCTTAACGACAATGAAATTACGTAAATACCCTTATTAGGGAGTGATAACTACACCATTTAACCTCCTTTCACTGACTGACAGGTGTCTAGAGAAATCCCTTGTGGCGGCTTCGAGTTTGTCAATTATTTGGATAGCGATAATGACACGTGTCCTTAAATGACCGGTTATGATCCGATTTACCATTCTACCCCATTATTAGTGTTTGGTATAGAGATAGGGATTAACTAGTTTGACGGCCTACTTACCCATTTGCATTGCATAATGCATATGGATAATTGAGGGAAATGGCATAATTATATTCAATGAATCAAGTTTCTGCATCTTTACAAAAATTGAAAGTCTTATAAGGAAAATAGTTGTGTCTTAAGTAGGACCTGATAATTTTCCATAGATTCCTTGATTATTTTCTATTATTTGTGTTCAATTGTTTTCATTTGTTGTGGTCCTTGTCGACCATTATGTGTTGATATTTCTAGGGTTTTCTATTTCATTTCTTTGTCTATACACGAAGATGGTAGATAAACTTTGAAGTTTTTCCTAGTTTATTTCGAGGCTAGTTTTTGAAACCGATGTATATTATCATGTGGACCGTAAGCAATTAAAGGTTCGTTTGATGAAGAATCTCTATATTACTACAATAAATCAATTAGCCAATGTGTTTTTAAGAAAGAGAAAAAAATTAAAATCATTTTATTTTCAAAACATAATACCCATTACAAAAATAAATCTGAGTTAATCACCAAACTAAATAAAGTTTTTGAATCACACTTCAACCATTAATTACAACTATCAAACCAGGTTAAGATAAAAAGATATACATTTTGAAAAATGTTTAACAAAAAAAAAGTAAAGATGAAGATATAATTAAATACTTTTGAATTTTGATAGTTGTATATGTTGATATGAAAATTCGGCTATAAAACCAATTTCCACGGTAATTTTGTATATGTGGCATTTATCATTCATTTCTATAATTATACTTTTTTGATAAAGATTTTTATAACTATACTTGTAAATGTTTTTCACTTAACTTCAGCAATGATTGTTTGTAATGATAGCTAATCAACAAAGAATCGTCTTTTTTATTCTCATAATTAAACAGACGAAAGCATAATACACGTGAAAATGATAACAGAAGAAAAGTATGATAAAGTGATAAGTAACGGAAAAGAAATTTAGATACTAGTATAAGTTAACTGTAGGACGGTTTATGTACGTATTTTCTTTTGTGAATACATATACGTATGTGTTTTGTCTACACTTTCGTATTTTGTGTAACATACAAGTCATACGCACACGTGTCTTCCGACCACTTGATAGTCTCTGTTGATAAGGGTTGGAAAGAGGACTTAGAGGAGATTAGTCCTAAAAAATTGCCAAAAATAAAATAAAATTTGCATTCAATGAATGGCCCAACAGACCAATATGATGCTCTTTCCTCCTCAGCCACCAGAAACGTTTGGGCGGCTCTCAGCGTCAGCGATCCCTACCTTTCTTCATGTGTGGACCTTCTCCTTCTTATATTGTTAATACATAATTTATTCTTCAAAAAGAAAACAAATATCATATATAAACGAAATGCCTATGTGATTATATTTAGGGTTTATAATAATATAAGTTTTTAGAAATAATGAGAAGAGTACTGCATTTCTGTTTCACCACAAAACTATGTGCGATATAAAAGAATGTGCTAGCTAGAGTTTTTTTTGTTAAAGAATGTGCTAGCTAGAGTTCATTGTTTTAATTCACATTCACGAGGCTCCTTTACTGCTTTCTGTTCTGCATTCTCTGTTGCTTCTCGGTCGTTAATAATTCATCTGAGATGTTGCATACACTTGCACAAACACACCAAAAGAGGAGAACATAAAAATTTATGCTATTAATTATTGCCTACATGCATGGGAAAAAACTATATATAATTTGGAATAAGTTGATGTTGTTGTATGGCAATAGGGTTTGTTTAATAATTCATAGTCAAATGAAAAAAAAATGTACATTGTCAATAATACTCAAGGAATATATATATATATATATATATTCCTGCTCAAATAACATTTATACCCTAAATGATGAGCCCATGCATCCTCAACAGTTGCCTTTTAGCACATTATCGCATATTCGCATCTCTGAAGAATAGTGATATTGCAGTTGATTGGATACTGTATGAACTATTATTTAGTTTGTTGATACCAAAAAACTCATAAAACAAATCACCGAACGAAATGAAACGATATGAGCGAGTTATCTAATCATTATCTTGCGGTGCAACTATATATGTCTAGGTGTTATTGTATTGATGTAAATAGAACTACCAATTTTAAAGCAGCTGGAGTAAACCTAAATAACCCTGATATTTATTGAAAAAATTGCATGTTCTCGTGGTAGTTTAACGGAAACAAAAAAAGAAAAGAAGCAAAAACAAAAGCAATCACAAAGAAACAAAGAAGGGCGGGGATTTTCTGGTTCAGGTTCTATTACATGATAACGTAAGCAAGGGACCCATAAAGTATATTCTCTCACACTTTGGTAGGCGGTGTCTTGTCTTTTTGTCTCCCCCGTCGCTAATAAGTACTATACTTCTTAACCAATATTGTAGTATAAAACTATTTATTCCGTATTATGATCACTAAAACACATTTGAGCACTAATCAAACACAATTATCAATATTTCCGGTCGTATTTAGCTGCTAGTCTGTTTTGAGATGATTGCCGATGATATTTCGCATATGGGTTAGTAACGATTGACGTCAAGTACTAATATATTTAGTTAAGAAAATGAAATGAGAACTTTCCTCGAAGTCATCATGAATTAAGTTCTTTTATTTAGCTTGAAACAAAAAACAAGTATAACAACACATAGTATTTCTTAATTAACAAAAACACACTATTCTCGTTTTATTTATTTTAGATAACATTTTTATGAAAATTTCTGCATGCCAACTCCAGTCCAGGGGCTGCTAAGTGCTTATAATTACAAGTTAATTATTTCCCAAGCTATTATTTTGAAACGATTGATCAAAACATGCCTAGTTACAGCTTTCTTTAAGTTATACAAAATTGACGAGCAAACAAAAAATTACCCAAAATATGAAAGCGAGTGTTATATTTTTCTATTTAATTTTTCTTTTAAAGTCTCATATATGCAAGCAAAGGAAAAAATTGAAATCTCGTATATGCTGCAACTTGAGATGACGTTTCTCGCATACTACGAATTGATATCACTTAATTAATTATACTTAGCGAGTTCATAATGTTATATGAAGAAAACCCTTCTCTCTCCAAAAAACATTCATTCATTAAAGTCATCGGGTGGTACACGTGAGACCCACGGGTAAGGACCGTAAGGTGACTGTGGACAATAACATATTTTTTGTCTGTGGACAATTACACTACGGTATAATTTAGAAAAAGACTATAGTATTATACGGGGAAATTAAAGTCATTGTCAAAAGAAAGATATATATAACAATAATATTTTGAATATATCACAAGCTTCTGTAATTCTGTTGGGTTTAATATATCACATTTTGTAGATCTTTTTGTTGTCATAAGATTGGAATCTGAAATGTATTAAACTATTAAACTAGTAATTAGTATTGTTGTATTAAATGATTAATATTATTGTAAGGAATCAAATCCTTTGTTCGTGGAGAGCCAGCAAAAAGTATACACGTGTGACAGAATGCACGTCAAGGCCAAAATCAATAAATGTACTCTGCATGCAGGCTTTATATACTTGCAATATATGAATTCTCGATAGTTTTGATACAAAAAGATTGCTATTTTATTTCATTTTCAAACCATTATCAACACCAACGTACCATCATCTTGTCTGTGGTTCTGTGCTATGATTCCATTTTTTCTCTTATGACGAACAGAGACGTTTCGACTGTCACTAGCTAGACGATGACAAACCCGTAGAAATTTGTATAATTTTTATTAATTGCTTTATGAATTACGAGTTTAGAATTAAATTAATTGGAAAGATAATATAGTAATAGATACTCTTTAGAAAATTTAAACACAATATCGTTATTGTAAGCATCGTATGTATAGACAAATTGATTGAAACATGTATTTACCTAAACGCGCTTCAAAAGCTTAAACGAATACGACATGTAACTGCGATTTTGATATATGTCTCCATTCTGTGTGGAAACCTCAATGTTTGACCTTTCTATTGACTATATATTGTGTTGATATACGATGTATATTCGACTATATTTAGTCAAATCTTGATATGTGCAAATACTAACATAATTTTTGCAATTACTAATTTACGTTTAAAAAAGTTAAAGAACAATAGCTAAAATGTTTTTTTTTTTTTTGGGCAGAAGCTAAAAGTTTTTTTATTGGTCTCTAACTCACACATTAACGGATTTAAATCTGATTAATTAATAAGGTGATAACGATACTAGTATAATTTATACAAGTTGTGGTCTAGACTCTAGACAATGTCACAATTATCTTCGAAAATTTTAAAATTTAAACTCATATCAATGTGTCATGCATGTCATTCATTCAATTATGGTCTCAGTGGGTTTCGTTTTTTTTTACTTGTCTACTGATTATATATGGATAGCAAGTGCCGATTTGTGGATAAAGGAGTTTCGTCTTGTGGTGAACGTGGCAAAGTAAAATAAATTGAAAGTTTTATTAGTTTTGGGTGGACGAATTAAATTGGAAAGGAAATTGATTGATTGCAATGGCAATAACATCGGTAACTAGCGGACAAGAGAGTTTCACATGGAAGCTCTGTATATAATCAATAATGGTGTGTGTTGGTTCCAACTAGTATTTATATATAGATCAGTACTGATTGCGAAAAGACATCGAAGACAGACAATATTTAACGAACTTAACTAACAAAAGTGAGGCTGTTAAAATCTTAGTTCATGCGGTAATCTATTATTCAATATCATTTTCATGTACTGTTTTGGATAAATTTTACATTTTTAGTGTG